GTAGACTATAGTTTTATTACATAGGATTTAGTACTCATATTATAGAAATGTTAAAACGTTTATAAGAAGTTAAATATAAATTAAGTAGCTCTTTTAAATGGATAGTTGATTACTCTTTAATTATTATGATTAATAAATATTTATAAAAAAAAAAAAAAATAAGTTTCAATTATATGTAATGTGCCGTGAGGATTTACTTTTTGATGGGAGTAATAGAAACTAATTTTTCTTTCCTCTCTAAATTATTAAGACTTCATAAGATATTTGTATACTATTGTTATGCTTATTAAGCATTTTTGTTTCGAGTTTTAAAAGTAAGTAAAAGTTTTTTGTAATAACGATTTTAATTTAATCGTGCATTTATACTCAATTTTCAGTTAGAGTAATATAAATTCTTTTTTTACTATGTTTGTACGCCATACGTTTTAATATAAAATAAAAACGATTATGAACTACATAACTACCTATTGTATTTTAAAAAGATAATGTATTTTGAAATAAGGTGATAATAGTTGTAATTATATAATATAATACATAATTAAGAGTAAAACATTGTTATACATGTTGTGCGTAAGCTAATAATTTTAAGCATACGTAAATGTGTATTAGTAATTGTATCATGATTATATTTTAGGATGCAATTTATAGATAATTTTATAATACTTGGCCTACAATTAATAATAATTATACATGTTATATTTGACCATAAGAATGAATGAACTGCTATTTTTATATTATTATTGTTTATTTTTATTTTCTTCATCCTAATGTTATATTTGAATCTTAATTATTGATATTCGCAGTACGCATTATAAAAACTGTTTATAATCATAAAGAAAATGTAAGTTAGTTAATTAAGTATCGCTTAAAAATTATCCATCTTAGATCATTAAAACAGAATTGTACTGCAAATAACCAGTTAGTTCACAAAAATTTTTATGACACCTAATAAGTGCCAAATATAACGATATAATATAATTAAGCGAATTCTGTTTCACCAATTATTTTTTTTATTGATTTTTCAACCAGGAACATAAATTTTTTGAATTTACTATAATATTTTATTGATTTTATTGATTTTAGGATGTTCATTATGTACTAGCATAAAAGCCACCAAATCAACATTCAATATATCCGATTCAATTTCAATAATTTTGAACGAATTCAAAACTTTATTAACTCGTAACATTATTAATGTTTTTTTTTAACAAACTCAGTACAAGCTTCTCATAATAGTTTATAGTATTATTATTAAATATTTTATCTTGAAACATCACTACAATTTAAATTATCTGTATTTAATTCCCTTAATATACTATACCAATATCAAATAACTGAAATATTTAATTGTTTTTTAAACATTAGAATCATATCATCAATAACATAAATATCATAAGCTATACTATAACACATTTTATAAATTTGTTAATGCATTAATTTAATGAAAAATTTAAAAGTAAATAAATAAAAAAAGTAAAAAATTAAACAAAAAATATGTATGCGTAATAATATTATACAATATATTATTAACATTGTTTCTTATGAATGTTTTTTTACATTGTAATTCTTTGTATTTTTTTTTATTTTATTTTTTATTTTTTTTTTTTGATACTTTATTATTAGTAAGTACAATCACATTATTTATTATCATCTACTAATAATAAATAATATATTAATATATGAAGTATTTGATATGGTTTATTATAATGTACAATGATATCAAGAAAATAAATATAGTAGGCGTAAGCATATAGGCAATCTAATAATCTCTATGAAAAATTAAACACAGAGAGTAGATTTAGCTCTCATTAAATTAAAAAATTTTAACTATCGATTGTTAGAAAAAACGTTAAATTATTATAATACACTGTAAATAATATTTTAGAGCTACTAGTATTAACGATATAAATTTATGTATGGTAAATGTATAATAACTGGTATTACATTAAAATATTAATAGTAATTTTTGTAAATAAAAATGTCTACTAGTAGAAAGTAACATATAAAAATAAGTATTAGATTGTCCAATAAATTATCTCTTATTCAATAAGACTCATATCCATAAGTCGATGCAAGTTTATGGAGAATAGACCTATTGGATAACAATGATTAACCAAGTGATCAATTATTCCTCATTCAATCCGTATAGTCTAGATAATTATAATTTCCATTACATAGATACAATAAATATTAAATTCAAAAGTTTTCTCGAGGGATAGGTAATCCTCCGAGAAAACTTTTGAATTTATTACATAATCATTGCATTTTGGAAATAATATTTGGTTTGTAGTAAAATATAATTTTCCAGAGTTTAATTTCGTACGGGTTAAAATTTACAATGATTACACAGAAAGTTAACAATAATAAACAATAATAGTAAAACAAGTAATAATAGAAATAATGATAAATAGTAATAATAGTAACAACTATAGAAAACAAAAATAATATATAGGTTTTAGTTAAAATGTGATGATGATAACATAAGGTTATAACATAAAATAGCGTGCAATAAACGGTTATAATCAATGATATTATGGTTCAAATATTTTATTTTAAAATAAGACTAATTCCTTATTTTTTTTTTATGTTGTTATCTAGAAAATATATATCATATAGTAATTAATTACACTTAACATTTATAAGAATACATCATAAAAACCAATAACAAATAATTTACAATTCAATAAAGTGGAAGAAAATAATTATGAGTGATTTTTAAATGACCAATGTAGCATAATATAGCGTAGTAATGTATTAGAGTAGTCTTTTAAAAAAGATACATCGGGCATTACTAGTCCTAGTTGGCCAATTTATCGATGATAGATGGATGATCACATCATCCAAGAATTTAACAACGAATATTTGTTCCTAAACTACGAGTCCTAATTCACTGACTTATAAAAAACATACGGTTTTCTTAATATAATAAATTTCTAAAGTTGTTATAGATTAAATGGAAAAAGTATAATGTTCTTAACGATAATATATAGAAATGTTTTTATCTACATTAAAATTATTTGGTTGTCATGTTCAAACGTTTTACCTAATAAAAAATCCCATTATGATACAGGTTTTGAGTATGAGACTTTTGTTGTGTCTAGTTTTTTTTCCCATTAGTATCAACTACAATTATAGATAATATATATAGATATATATATATATATACAGATTATACCTTTAATCGTGTTATCAACAATAACAAAACAATAGATCATTAGAAAAAAGAAAATTATAATTTTTAAAGTATATTAGTGTTTTAAAAAGTTAAACAGTATTTTTGTCCAATTATTTACTGTATGTTGAGCGTTGGATATCACTTTATGCAGGCTTTTAAGAGAGTATGTATTCAATTATTTGTTAAAATAATAAGCTTTGTAAGAATAAAAAAAAAGACATTAAATTAGTCGTATCTGTAATACAGTAAAATATTTAATTGTAGATTCTGTACACAATTGAAATATAATTTCGTGAAATAATTCTTAAATTATTTATTAAATAATTAATGTTATCAAATTTTAAGTTTGAAACATTAATCAATAAATTGGCCGAGTTGAAAATTTAAGTAATTTCAACAATTTTTTATCCATTGAAATTAAATTACTATTTTTATCAAAATAAATGTAAATAATTATTAGGTGAAATATTACACTATTTCTACAGTCTTTTTAGTTTTTATTTTATTCACATGGAAAAAAAATTATTGGTATAGTTGAAAAATTACATCTCTAGATATAGATAAGTAATCCTTGATTTAAAATGTTGTAGTATAAAATATACAAGCAGTTTTTTACAACTAAATATTTAAGAAAAATCTCATTGTAAAATCAATACGATCGTTTACAATTTAGATCAAAGCAATATTATAGATTATATTACCATAATTTGTCTCAGCTATAATAATTAATGTTAATCATATTTATAATATTAATTATTGCATAGTTTTAGTATCGTACCATTTTCTAATGTTTGATTATATACCAAAAACTAAGCTAATAAGTAATAATATTTTTTTCTGACTTATTTACATATCAGTATTATTAAATTTATAACAAAAGAGTATTATTTGAAAACAATTCTAGTTTACAATATTTTGTGAGATACGAAAGTTAATATTTAAAAAATATGTATGCATTATATCTAGCAAAATAAACATTTTCAAATAAAAAATATGCGCTGTATATTCATAATTCATAATTATATCAGTTAAAATTACTGTTTTTAATATATTTTTTTGTAATTTAATAATAATAAATAAAACATTTTATTTTATATCAGATATAAAATAAAAAATAATAATATATATAATGCATTGTAAACATTGTAAGCATTATGAGTTATAAACATCCGACCAATATTCTGTACCTTCGCATAACTATTCTTGCTAAATAATATTTTGATTTTCGCTTGACCTAGTGTTATCTTTTTTTTTTTAAAAAAAAGTTGTGATCAACTATCGCACTAAAATAAACCACCTCAAGATAAGTTAAGCGTATTTATACTCCACCATAAATAAGATAGTTAGAATTGCATACAGTCATATAATTTAAGCATGTTGTTTCATTAAAATAAATATAAGCTCTTATTGGAAAATTTTTTGCATTTTTCTTTCATATCGGAAAAACTATCGAGAGCAATTAAAAAATTATACCTCTGAAAACTACAATGTCTATATTTTTGACTTTAGTTAGTAGTTCTACTTAAAAGTTTGACATTCAGTTTAAGAAAACTTAAATTAATACATTCCTCGTTTAGCTCATATAATACGATCACCTTTTACCATAAATAATTGCAGATTTTATTAAAAATTCCAAATTGAACATAATATATCAGTTTCTTGTGGATCATTTGAATTCATATTGAATTTATTTTATATGTTGAACTAATAAAAAAAAAAAAAAAAAAAAACAGGAAAATGATTTCCGGGATCTAGTAACCAGGTGTTTTTGTTTTCCGCGTTTTCGACGACTCTTTGAACGTATATGAAAATAATTTGAAAACGATTTTTATGGATGTCATAATGTTATATTTATTTTTTACTATTGCGTTTGAAATACATACTAGTCAACAAGGTTATTATACAAAATAAAAAATTATTCATAAAAATGCCCATCGGCAACGTGTATGGTATCAGTCCACAATTATCATCAGTACCGTAACACTTGAGTGCTTACATAACTTATTTACATATATTTATAAGAACGCGGTTATATACAATAATATGTAGTCAAGTGTCACGTCGCTGTCCGAAAAGGAAAACGAATATCGTTACAAGAAGACAGAAACAGGATACACGGCTGTCGAGGGTGCCTTACGTCGCGGACTTATACTACCAGCCGCTGAGCCATTTGGTCCACTTGGGCTCGTGGTAGATGTGCTTGATCTTGTACACGGGCACCGGGTACGGTCGGTCCACCGGCACCGGGACCTTCTTCTCGATGTGCACCGGGTACGGTTTGTCCACGGGGTACGGCACGGGTTTCTCGACCGGGTACGCGACCGTCTTGATTACCGGCACCGGGTACGGCACTTGGACGGGCACGGGTTGCGGCACGCCCACGGCTACGGTCCTGTACACGGGCACGGGTATGGCGCGGTTGATCTCGACGTGTTGCGATATGACGTGTTCGGGTCCGTACGCCGGGGCGTAAGCGGGTCTGGAAAATCCGATTGAAAAGGAAAAAAATTAGTTAAAAAAAAATGAAAAAAGAAAACAAATCGGTGTTGCACATGTGGATACACCATTATGGTTGTACGCGTGCGTTGTTTTTTTCCCCGTTTAATTTTTCCACACCGTTATCATTATCATTATTATTATAATCATAACTATCCGGACGACAGTCGTTTTCACGGATTTGCTCTCGTGGCGGCGGTAAACGATGTAATAATTGGTCGCGGCCCACTGTCAACAATGCACGCGATTTCCGTCCGGCGGCGCGGAATCGATTACGCGTGGGCTGCGAGTTTTACCATGAAAACGTGTCCGGTTACGGCCAAAGACACCGGTTAGGTTGTTACGTGGCCACCAGCCACTGATGTAATGTTAGTATAATAATGATAATGTTGTGTGCACAACGAGGTATGACGGAAACGATGCGACTGCGGGCGACGAGAAGAACACGACGTCGGAAAAACGTCGTTCTCGTCCCGTTTTCGACCACTCGATCCCGCCTAACCGAGAACTACGGTCGAAAGATCTACATTACATTTGAACATCGTCGTTGTTACAACTGTAACAGCGGACATGCAGTCGAAACGTGAATTTTATATAATTTACGTAATCCTCGTTTTTCTTCTCTCTCTCTCTCTCTCTCTCTCTCTCTCTCTCTCTTTCTCTTCTCCTCTCGTCGTCCACGGTTTTCCATGAATTTTTTTTTCCTCTATGTACGTTATGCAAAAAAAATGAATTTCAATTATTCACGGTCACCACCGTCGCTCGACCAATCCCCGTACGCACGCGAACGCGATCAATACCAACGGAAACGACAACGAGATCGTCGCCGTAACCGTAATCCAAGCGTATAACTTACCCAGCGGAATACGCGGTAGGTCCGTAACCGTAGGCAGCTGGCGCGGCGGCGATGCCGACCGGAGCGGCGGCCGCGGCGTAAGCGGACGGGCCGGCGTAAGCGGTGGGGGCCGCGTAAGCCGACGGGCCGTAAGCCGCGCCCGAACTGTAAGCGATCGGGCCCGAGCTGTAAGCGACCGGAGCCGGTACGTCGGCGGCCGCGGAGGACGGCGCGTAAGCTTCCGCGCTGGGCGCGTACGAATCGCCGGCGTCGGCCACGCCGGACGGAGCGTACGCCTCCTCGGCGCCGTACTCCTCGCCGACCACGCTACGTTTGTTGGACTGATGGTCCTCGTCGACCGACTGCTGCTGCTGCTGCTGTTGCTCCACATTTTTCGTCTGCTCGACGGCCGCGTCCTCCGCGCGCACGGCGACCGCGACGAAACCGACCAGACCGATGATCACCTGCAGCGCACGGTGAAAAACGAATTGAACAATTTTCTCCGCACATCCTGGGCGCTTGCTCGTGAACCGGAAGACGACAACCGTTCCGACATGTCTTCCGGTTCGCGTACCGTTCGCAAACGATTTCGCCCCCTTAGCACGGGTCGTCTGCCAAACGTGCCCTATCCTATACCAATTTACATGCCTCCCCCGCCCCCACGTGTAATCGCAATCGGATTATTTGTTAATTTTTTTTTTTTTTTTACTGGCTGAAATCGCGATATACCGTCGGTTCGGATCTCGAGAAAAATGTTTGATGAACTCGAAACGTATCAGGGAGTCACTGACGACGTCAGTATTTAGATATGCCCCTATTCATTGAACGGCTAAAAATTGTTGTTCGTAATCGTTGGTCAATGATTAATCGAGTTATTATGATAGAAAATATTATATTGCTCTTATAATTTGATGAATTGAACAGCATAAAACAGCATAAAACGCGTATCGCGTTGTAAAAGAGTATCTAATGAAAACCATAATGCTTTCGCTATCTGTATGGTATTAAAAAATACCGTGTTTCTAAAGAAAAAAAAAATGCTGATAGAAATCCCATGATTTTTCTTGATCTTAGTTTAACATATTTCTCCCGCATTTTTGATGATGAACTAATGTGTTTTTATGAAAATGTTAGTAGTTAAACACTAATGATTGTTCGATGAAAAAAAAAAAAATTGCGACGCGTACAATTAGGTTTGAAAATTGTTCACCCAGAAATTACAAATAATCATAGTTGAAATAATAACAAAAACTCACGTGTATTTTCATTTTGAACGATTCGATTCCGTTGATTTTTTTGATAACAGTATGCACGTTTAATTGGGTATGTGGCAGTGTTCCCGTTTATGGTTCGCACTGTGGCGTGTGCTGTTGTTGACTGACGATTTTCACGGAGCAATCGGATTATATATACTACTTTGATCGTACGCATTTTTCTATAAGACTTTCTCCGGGGCAACCGGGAATACTACCGGGGACCATCCTCCGGACAAACCGGTCGTTTGTAGAATTATTCCGATCCCTTGTCAACCGACCGTTGTATATCTGATATATGGCCGTATGGTGTCGTGACTATAGTGACATAACTAACCATAAAAACCGGTAACGATTCTGATAAGGAAATCGGTATATTTACTCTATGAAATTATTACTTTTTTTGAAAATTTGATCAACTAAAATTGCATTGTTCGGTTAACAAAAATCTTCAATCGATTTAGATTTGGAGGTCTTCTTCCCCAAGCCTTTAGATTTGATAAGCAATAGAGGAATTAACGACTTGATAAATAAAACCGATCAATTCTTATGGTGATTTCTTATTTCGATTAAGAATTTTAAAACTTCAACATAACCAATAATTAGGCTGTTACTGAATCTAATACTTATAAATTAACCTTTAAAGGCCTTTAATATTCAAAGTAGAAAGTAATTATAAAATTTTTCTCAACGTTTTTGATCATATTTATTGGTTATTGCTGTTTAGATAGTATACTATTAGTAAACCGAAAAAAATAACAATTTGGATTTTATAAATACCACAATCCTTCAAATATAATTACAATTAGCTATTTAGGTATATATATAACAATACATATATTATTTATTATATTACTTAGGTATTTGAATACAAAAGTATTATATTTTTTCACTAACAAGGTGTAAATATTTTGTTCACTATGTTCATTATATGATTTAGTTGAAACTGTTTTGATTTGGTATGTAAAATATTTTTATTTTATTTGTAAGATATATTTTTATTATATAATGGTAGACATTTTAATGTGTTTTGTATTACATACACCTTAGAAAAATTAGTTTTGTGTATCAGTAAAAAATGTTCAATAACAAACATTGTTCACTTGTATATCTACTACTATTATACTTTAATTACCAGAATTAATATGGAAATGTATTAACTTATCAACTACTGCTTTTTCTTATTCTCAGAGCTAATATATGGCCCGTGGTTGTAGGTATGTACTTGTATAATTTTGGAACCTTATGAATTTTAAGTATAAACGCATGAAAATTGTATAACAATAAATAAAATAACACACAAAAATACGAAATTAATTGTTTTTTAAATTTATAAATCATATGTAAAGCAAACATCTTAATAGTACATAGTACTTGACTATGTATATAGTCTATACTTGACTGTATAGAATCAAAAAGAAAAAAAAAAATAATTTTGAATATGGTGGATGTAAAAACAATATTTAAATATTTTTCTCCTTCTTTTTTTCTTTCTCCAAACTATTTGGGTTCAGCCATCCTTGTCCTAAACCTTCATTCGTCTCGATTTTCCACATCCCCTACGCATGCACTAATGGCCTTCATATCATTCTCAATCGAATCCAATCATATATTTTTTTGATCTTTTTCTTCCTCTTTTCCCTTCAATAATGTTCATTTTCATAAAAAAACCATTTAAGTCATTATAAATTATTACTTTAACACCGGGTAATGTTCAAAATCAAATATATTTATAAAATAAATAAATAAATAAAAAATAAATAATTGTTATTAATCATTTAGTAGATTTTATTTTTATAATACAATTCCTTATAAAGGCGAGTTTAATTTAGGAGAAAATAATATCTATACAGGTTAGAATTCCACTTTCTATTGTTTAAAACTTCCATAGAATGTTTTATATTTACGGTAAATACATTTCCTTATTCGAAAAGTGATTCCGTTATATATTATCAACTCAACTATAATTTTTTAAAAGAAATAAAACTTGGGTATTTTTCAATTTAAATTATTTCTAAAGTATACTATAACTGTTTAAGTAAAAATATTGGTGATTTTATTTCATATTAATTACATAAAAGTATTGAAATTAAATTATCAGGGCTTACTTATATCTGGTAATAAAAAAATATTCAACTATCTCAAGGTTTTATCATTTTGTATTTTTTAAGTCTACTTAATTTACAATATTTTTGTATGTGAGAAATACTCTAAAATACTTTATGATTCTTATACAAGTCCAGAGTTACATTAAAAAATTATTATTTTTAAATTTTTTGATAGTTTTCCTTATTGTTAATAAAATGTGAATCAACACCAACAATATTTTAAAAGGTTTTTTATTGTTAGGTTAGGTTAAATTTTTTTATAATATTTTTACTATTACAAATTATTTATTTTAGATTTCTATAGACATAATATTATGTTTACAATAAAAAAAAAAAAATAGATATTTGATTATAATAGGTATCTTCCTTTTGGGGTTACATAGTTAATATTTGAAAATATTGATATAATTTTACTTCATAAACATTTTTACAAAGTTTTGAATATCTATGTTTGAATTTAATTTATGAATGTGAATGGTCAATTTTCTGTTATGATAAATTCCTTAAAGTTTGCCCTTATTTTAGCCTTGCAAGATTAAATCACATCATATTATCAGATATAGTATGAGTTTCTATAACAATATTCACTAAAAAAAAAAAAAATATTTAAAATCAATGAATTCAGTAGAAAAAAAAAATCGCTTATCTAATTGAAAACTTGTTGTATAGTATTACTAAATTAGCTTTCTATCCGCGACATTGAGCTTGTCACCGTGTGAATTAAAACTCAGTGGCATTGCCAGTATAACTGTATATGATCAGTATATGACTTGTGTCTCATTCAGTTTCGCCTACTAAAATATCATAATAAAATACAATCATAGTGGTACTACACGAATACGCATTTAATACGTAATTTCATTAAGTCATTATGTAGTTTTATGAATGACATTCCTACTTTAGGTGAATAATTTTACACTAAAAGGTAAAAAAAAAAAATTATTTTATTTACTTGTTTCTCCAATGGTTATGTCAAACTCGTAACGGGTAGGAGTAATATTTAAGAAAACAACGGGGGAGGGGGGCTGATTACAATAATCAAGAGGTATAATAAAATATTAATAACGAAAACGTAAGATCAATAGTCGAATTTCAGGCTGCCAAACAAGTTTCCTTAAAAAAAATCTTCAATTCTTTTACCGAAATCATTAGCATGAGTATAAGATACGATTATTTCCAAAATCACGTGACTTCTCTGCGACATCAATCACTTTCTATTATAATTGACCAAAAATGGTAAGTCTAGGTATTTTGTAACTTTTTTCAATTTGGCAATCATAAAACTGATTCTATCACCAGGTAACATTAATTTCACCTAATGTTATATTATATATTTATTACGTGAGCAGTGGCTTTACTGTCTATCAACTGTAAATGATAGATATAACCTTGTGGCTTGTACCATAAATGTTTATTTAAATATTATTTGTTAATATTAAAGTATATATGGATCAAATGATATATAATTTATTAAGATGTAGAAGTATTAAATATTGATTTTATCCAAAATCAGTTAAAACATGTCTTAAAAACTATGTACACAAATATTAATAGTGAATATTGGTATACCTACAGGTATATTATAGAAGAAAAATATTTATAAGAAAATTTTAATTGTAATTATTTAAATTTAAAATCAACATTACCTATATCATTACATATATAAATATCGTGTTACTCCCTTACTTTGTATTATGCACTGATTGCATGAGTTCTTTATTTATCATGGTAAATAGACAATTGACATAGACTTATCTACAATACTAAGAGTAATATTGAACATCAGTAATTATTTTTGTCCACCAGTATAATTTTAAGCTAAAAATAAAAAATACTTTCAATTCTCGTCCAATAATTTTAGTAAGTTTAAATTTTTATCTTATGACTAGAATAAAAAGAGAGAGAGTTAACAAGAAGTTGTGTTTTATAAATTATTATTTATATTTTATAATTTAATGTTAATAAAGTAATAAATTTCTTTTTTATTTTAATAAATTTTAATCGCAAAAAAAAGGAAAAGATTTTTCACTATTATAAATTTTATTATAATATTAATCATAAAATAAAACTAAAAAAATTAAATTTAACTCAAAGTATAAGTATGCATGAAAAATAAGAAGAAAAACTTATACTTTTAATTTATGTAAAAGTGAATTAAATATAATTTAATATTGGTTATAGCATTAGTTATTTATATTCATATTTATTAGTCATATTATTATTTATACTTAATAGTTAATAATTATTAAGTACATACTATATTACTATTATTATGTCTAAGTAAATAAATTGTTTATTTGTAATATAAGCTCAAAATGTATTATATCCCATTGGCATTATACGAATAAAATATATGTTGAAAAAAAATTCAAATTCCAAAACTATTTTATAATTATTATGAAATTGAATAAGTAAATTAAAAAATCGTTTTATAAGTAAGTTATGATTATTTTCATTTTTAATTTACCACTAAGATTAGCTGATAAATTAGCGAGTATAGAAATACATTTGAACTAGCTGTTGAACTTCAAAATTAAAATTAATTATTAATTATTGATATTTAAAATATGATAACCAAATTATTTAGATATGTGCATACTGAAATAAATATAAGTAAGTAAAATAGGTAAATAGGTATTAGTTTTTAATTCGTATAATTAAAACTGAACTGATCAAAGGTTCATATATAATTAATGAAATAAATAAAGTAAAAAGATTTTGAAAATTTTCAATAGTAAATAATTTTATGGAAAACAACTAAATATTTTTATAATTTTAGATATTTCATAATATTTTATTTTATTTTAATTAGTTACACGGGCTCTATATAAGTCATTTGGACATTAAATATTACATATTTTTTTTAACAGAATTCTTTATAAAATCAAAATTGAATCTATACATTTATTCATTAATATAATAAGAAAAAAAAATCTATCCAATTAAAATAACTTATGTTATAAATATATACACAGCTTAGCAAATCGTCGGAGGCAGGGTCTGCATTAGTAAATTAATTAAGCGTCTTAAAGGCTCATTAGCCATATAGTTTGTGGTAGCATGTGGGACATTCTGTAGAGGGCCTTGGAACGAAATGAACGGGAAGGAATTTATATACCTATATAATTTATACATTATATGCCTATTTTTTAAATAAATTAGGTTGTTTTATCCTGGATAAATATGAAATCGTACATGTTTTAATGTTCATATTATACATACTATTACTTAATAATTATAATTTTAATATAGTCAAATAACTTATGTTATAACATGAAAAAATGTGCATTAATAAAATAATATTAAAATATATCTAGGATATTAAAACATAATAAGGAAACACTAGTGAAATTTTGTTACGATGAATTTCAGTAAATATCACTAAATGAAAGAACGCAGATACGCATAAAAACCGGATCTGCAAGTTGTAACAAGTGGCTGAGCCTAATGCGTGTTAATACATTTTATATCTGTCAAAAAATATTTCCTTACAAGTTGAAATTTATTGCATATTGTTTTGTTATTTCCGGTGTCATCATAAATTAAATTATATATTATATCACCATATAATTCTCTTCGATATTAACTACCGTCAAAGTAATTATAATTTTTAACTATGAATTTTATAATACGATCAAATATTTTTTATTTATGATAACTAAAATTACATTATACTTTATTATTCAGCGGAAATGCGCAGTATTTTTCATTGATCAGTTATATAAAAATAGCAAAAATATTTTTTATTATTATCATAGATGAAATAACATCGAAAGTATGTGATGAAAGATAATGTTTAATTTACACTTAACTATAAATTATTAAGTTAAATAATTTATTGCAGTGTAGTAGAGCATATTTCACTTAGTTATATAGTGAAGAGCTATTTTATATGAATATTACTCTTTTGGGTTAAGCTCTAGAATTAAATTTACGGACTGAGGTTGGAATCATTGTTTAGTACCACAACAATTTAATTGTTATATAAATTGTTATGATTAAGCTTACTACTAGAATGCCAGTTCACCAATAGAAAATGGAGCAAAACAATAAACTCGAATAATTTAAATTTAATATATATATATATAGGTATATTACAGTTTCGAATTACGAAAATATGACGAAGCAATGATAAATATAAGGTTGCTGGCTCTCATTCTAATCTCTCATACGAACGAATTGATATTTGAAGACTGGCTACATCGAATTCAATTTCCAGGTCGAAATCGCCATTGAGAATTCCAGGCTTTTAAGATGACAGGTAATCTTTTATCGTTTAAGGCAATGGTTTTCAACCCAAGGGTCGCAAAAGATAGTTTGGAGGTCCCCAAAAATAATGAATAAATTGTTATTAATTTCAAAATTTATTAATTTAATCTAATTATTATGAAAGTACAATAATATTTCAAATAAAATAGCGTGAAGCGTAATCTTATCTGCAGATACTGTTATGTCTACGGATTATTAATTATAAGCGGTTGTGGTCACCGGTCTTAATTGGATTGACATTTAATATCTGGTTACTTTTACACTTGTACCGTATGCGTGTATTTCAATAATTTTAGTCAATTATTAGATAACAGCTTTTAATATAAAACCTAGCATGGAAATTATAATTTAGAAAATTTCAGCACAAGTTTCCCGTTAAAACAAAAAGATTACTAATGTATATTTTCATATTATTTATTTTTTTTAAATGTTTTTAATCTTTTTAAATGTACGTATTCAAACATACTTCATTTTCTATTATTTATTATGTGTAAGGCTCACATTAAAAAAATAAAAATTTGTGGTTGCGATTTGGAAAAGGTTGAAAATCACTGATCTAAGGTAAAAGTCATTCTGAATAAGCGCTGGAGACTATCGTAGATATGAATGAGAGACTAATGTCTGAATAACTGATGGGAATTGCATGGTATTTTATAGGTGAGATTTGGCTATAATAAATTGTAGTGGATATATTCATTGTGTTGGATCTGGTACAAACTTGTGTATTTTTTAACTCTCGTCCACTAAGACGTAAAAATACTACCGCGTTTAAAAACAATTATTGGTATAAAAACTATTTACATTTAAATAAGCGATTCGTTTTCAATTGATAATATTAAACGTAAACATTGTTTCAAGATACTATTTAAGTACTATACTTGATATTAGTGAGACATGGATAATATTAAGAAAAAAAAACTAAACTCTTTGATGACACCTCGAGTAATCAAAACTAAAAAGAGAAAATGTAATTCATGTTTCTGTATTTAATTCAAGTCAGGTTCTATCATATGGTGACAAAGTATAAATTAGTGAATTTATTACCAACGTACTAATGCGATTGATAAAAATTGTACTAATTAGGTTGATCAAATTGAATCACTTCCTCACTCGTTTATCTGTATTGATTATGTTAATAGCAACAGTCGATAATGATAATCTTTGATGGTACTATATTACGTAAAAATTAATTTCAAAGACCTCGTTACTCAATGAGTTGTATACTGAAGGGTATTATGTTACCTATATGGAATATAAATACAAGATTAATTACTTTATAAAATGTGAACAATTTAGTTTCGAAATTATCATTATAGGAAGAAGATCGGATAAAAATGAAAAGAAAATGCGGTTAATTGTTGTTTAATAATAGTCAAGGTATGATGTAGAAAAATGTGGTTACTTAGTACTTAAGCAACCTTCTAATACTATTGTATGATGACAATAAGAAGAAGATTAGATATTTTGATTATCACATCAAAATTTCCAACGGTATATAAAAGGACTGATGCGTCCTAATACGAAGTACTAACACTTAGACTCTCGATTGGTTATTGTGGTTATTTTTTTATATAGGTTCAATACTTCAACAACATGAATTCTTTGGTGAGTAAATTTAATTCACATATAATTAAATTAGTTAAACCATATTTATTTTATAATATTGGTATCTACTTATGATATACAAATATATATGTTTAAGATATGATGTATATAAATATTTATGTCTATACATATTTAATATTTATTATGAAATAAAACTAATAAAATCACCAGTACAGAACGCATTTCTACTCGTAAATTTTGTTTAATTTCTCAAAGAGTACCTAAATTTGTATTCAATATGACAATTTAATATACTTAAATAATGATTCTAAATAAAAATCGATAGCCTAAAATTTTTAAACATATCAAGTACTAATAAAAATTAATTTTCAAGTTAAATGTCGGTGGTTTCGAGATATATTTATGGATTAATCTACGAGTATTAACATTTGAAAAATGTATATTTTATGAAATATGTTTTTGTAATAGAAAATAATTCCTGTGTCAAAATATTTACAGTATTATGTGTATAATTAATTGATATAATCGAGTTATAAGTTTAATAAAAATAACTACGTAGTTAAAAATTGTACAAATGTTCACTTTGAAAAATAACTGATCTATTGATATCTGTTGTATACACTTATATTTAAATATTGTTATATATAATTTGTTTAATTAACACACATTAGTAGTTTAGTAAGTTCAAAAAATTGTGTATACAATTTAATTTTTAAACTGTTTATATTAACGCGTTACGCATTTAAAATTATAAACATTTATTTTATTAATAAGGTAATATCTTACAAATTCTGAGAGTTGATATTTACTTATGATGGCTCAAATTAATTTAAGTCGTATTTATATATATATTATTATATTGTATATTTTATGTATCAAAAAATTTTATTCGATTTTCATTCCATTGGCGTGTTACGTATTATACAGTGCTTCTACTCGTACTTCTATACAAAAAAAAAAAAAAAACTATTAATCTTCTATACCTACTAAATTCGCAGACAATAATTATCTATTTCGCAGACATAGTCCTTTGATGCACAGTTTGTGCAGGAGATGTTCGGTTCTTACGCAACGGAAATACGAGTATTAAGTATAGGTACAATTATTTTGAATATATTTTTATAACGGGTTATGCACATGAACCGTAGTGATTTGTTATGATTGATACGTACATCGAGTTATTTACTATAACTATAATACGCTTATAAAAAAAATATGAAAATACTGCAGTAATATTGTATATTTTATGTAGGTATATTCTACCGTACTAACACAAACACGAGCTTCTCGAAATGTAATATAAAATGTAGTTGTCCTAAGCGACTACAGAAAAGTACAAAGTTTTAGTAAACAGTTTTAGTAGATATGCCCGTCGTAAAAGCACTTTTCGATGCACACCAAAAAAATGTGTATCGAATAGGTATAAGAGAATATTTTTAGCAACGATCGTGGTATTATATAATTTCTAAAACGACGTTTTTATTTCGTAGGTGATCGTCATGGTCGTCGTGTTCGTAGCCGCTGCTGCCGAAGTAAAGATCCCTCGAGCCGTCAAGGACGAGAAACGCGAAATCTCATCGTTCGGCAACGGCGGTGGTGGCGCGGTCGTCGTGCAACCGACACCGCAGCCCGCGCAACCCGCGTCCAACACGGTACCGACTGCGTACCAGCCGAGTTATTTGCCCACTTGCGTGGTGCAACCGAACGGCAACCCGTCGGTACCGGCGTACTACCCCGGCGCGGAGTCGTACGTGCCCGCGGCCCAGTACCAGCCGTCTCAATATCCGGTCGCGTACCAGCCGTCTCAATATCCGGCCGCGTACCAGCCGTCTCAATATCCGATCGTGTACCAGCCGTCTCAGTATCCGGCCGCCTATCAACCGTCACACTATCCGGCCGCGTACCAGCCGTCTCAATATCCAGCCGCGTACCAGCCGTCTCAATATCCAGCCGCGTACCAGCCGTCGCAATACCCGGCTGTCTTCCAACCGTCGCAGTATCCGATCACCTACCAACCTTCACAGTATCCGATCGCCTATCAACCGTCGCAATATCCGGTCGCGTACCAGCCGCAACAATCCTCGAGTCCGGTTCCGTATTCTTACAGTTACTTCAGTTCGTCGTCGCCCAACAACGGTAACAACGTCAACGGCAACGCGCCCGTGGTGTCGACGAAAAAATAATACGTTTTGGACGACCGAATGGACGGCACCCGGTTATTATAATATATTCCCGTAATAATAATATGCTGTCGAAACGATACGTCGATCGGACGAAATGAATAAACTCTAACAGTTTTTAAGACAATGATGTTCTTTTATTTAAACACGTTACAATATTATGTTGTTCATGAATATATACAATATTATAATATGGGTTATCATCGTAATCATCATCATCGGGGACGGTGATAACAATGATAACGGTGTAGTACGCGTTGCATGTATTCATGTAGAAATGTGTTTTTGTCGTGCGGGTCACTGGAGCGGGACCGCGTTAGTCGTGTACCACGAAGTCATCTCAGTAGAGGGACGAGGCGAAATACGGGGCCTTGTAGATGGGCGCGTGGTATGGGAGGGGAGCGTGATAGGACAGGGGTGCGTGGTAAGAGAGAGGGGCGTGGTATGGAAGAGGTGCGGCGTAGGAAAGAGGGGCATGGTAGGGAAGAGGAGCGTGGTAGGAAAGCGGGGCGTGGTAGGAGAGGGGTGCGTGGTACTTGATCGGCGAGATGATGGACGTCGGCAGGGCCAACGGGGCAGCTGGGTAGGTCAACGGCGCGTGGTAAGCAGCTGGAAATCCGTAGCCCAGTCCGTAGATGTTGCGCTTCTCGGTCGTCTTGGTTTGCTGTTTGTTGGCTTCCTCGGCGGCAAAAGTGCACACGATGACAGCGGCCAAAAGCAAAACGACAGCTACGAACTGAAATGTAAAAAAACGTCAATAATTATTATTGCACACGTGTGCCCTTAGGTTAGTAGTGGGAAGTAAAAGGAAGGACCGAAAAATGCGAAAATTTCCGCTTGATTTGTAGGTACGAGGTCCTGTGAACTACCTATTTCCGGGACTCCTTTTGAGTCAAAAATAATAATAAAGAATTGCAAAACTAATGTTTGATTAAATGAAAAAATATTTTAAAATTCATCGTCAATAGCTAAGATGATTAAACGATGATTAAACGATTTTAGCGAGCTTCCTCCGAGACCGTGTGGTTTGAAGTATCGTATGCGATTCCGTGTCGAACGCAAACGATCGTGAAATTGGAAGTATAAGTTTATATATAAGGAAAATCGATACCCAGCAAAAAAAAACTCATTCTATTGTACACTTGAAATTTGAAAATAAATTGAACAAACTAAATAAAAGTTGTAAAGAAACAATCGGTAAAAGATTTACACTCGATAAATCACATTGACAAATGTGTGCTGCTGCGTAATAAATGTCTAGAAACACCAGAATTGTAGTATGGTGGTGGTGAGACGAATAAGAATAAAAATACAATAAATAATATGTACTTACGGATTTCATGGTGATTGTTTTTTTGTTGATCGGCAAAGTGTAAATAATAGAGATGACGGTATTGTGCTTGCTGAAGAAGCTGATTGATGTGTGATCTATTTCGAATAACAGTAGTACGTTTTATAGTCCGGTGAAACTGGATCATTGATACCAGTCAAAGTAGCCGCCCCTGTACTTGATACCCAAATGGGCCTTGTTTATTAGTCTGAAAACTAGTTTACACTTAAACGCGTAATAAACAATTTATGTCCTCTTTTACCATCAACACACGAACCACATATTTCATCATTTTTGTCATATTATTAAACTCGATACACAATGATGTTTAATCAATAGTTATGATTCTTAATTTAGAATATAAGAAGGTTTAAGAAAGTTAATTGATTAATTTTATTTTGAGAATTAAACTAAAATATGAAATATGATTAGGATAAGTTGCATTGCGTGGCTCACGTATATAAACAACTAATAAGAAGGTAAAAAAGTAGATTTATTATCTGAAAAACGATTTATATTTATTTTATTTGTCTTGATTATTTTTTAATTATATACAGTGATAATTGACTTAATGCAATCCAAATAAACTTAAATAATGTTTAATGACAGCTATTATGCATTAATTTATCATCGTAAAATGTAATATTTACGTATAATTTAATTATTTATTTTATTGTATATAAAAGTACGGAACGTGTCCAATATCAATACAATTAAAGCACAATCAAACTGACTACAATTCATTTTTATAAAATTCAAAATCTTTGATCAAAATGCATTATTGCAATAGATATTTCTCAACCATTAAATAACCATTAAATGTTCTGTGTATACTTGAGAATTTAGGATTGTATAATCCATCATAGTCTTGTTGATATTTTGATTTTTATAAAATGTATAATATAGATACAATAGAACGTTTTAAAACAATTATTAACCCATCTGATATTTTAAGATTTATCAATTAAAACTAATATACAATAAGCAAAAATTACATCAAAATATTTTTATTTTAAATACCAAGTATGTTATAGAATAATCAATCATCTACTTTGTAAAGTAAAAATAACGCACATTATCATACAAAGTTAAATTTTTCAGTGATTAAAAAAAATGTAGTTAAAAATTCAGACATGATTGTGCACTACGAGTTCGAGATTAGATATAACTTAATTTTATTCATAATTAAAAATATCCTTGATCTAGATATAACTTGTAAATTAAATGAGACTAAAAATTTTACAAAAAAGTATAAATTTAGAAAAATGTAATGATTTAAGTACAATCTATTTTATGAATTATTCATCAACGGATCGAAAAAAAAAAAAATGTCTTAAAATAAAGTTCAACTAAATATAGGTTATGAATTAGTTGGTACACTATGTTAGTCTATACTTTTACTGAAACGTCTTAAACCATATTAAATAGATACAATTATTTCAGTCAAATTCATTGTATATTATTACAATAATACTTTTTTTTAAATAACTGATTAAATACTTCCGCCTTCTGATATCAATATACTCGTCATCTAAGTTACCACTTATTGACTAATTTTACTGTAAATTTTAAGTTTGGTTAAGTCTTGGATCTTTTGCCACTCATATATTTTTTCTTTTTTCGTCGTATCTTTCGTCATAGGCACAACGAAGGTTTTATTTTTGGAGGGGGTTAATTTTTTTTTTTTGGTATTTCTTTGATAAATTACTTTTACTTTAAAATTCGTATATATATCTTTTATGTGGAGAATAAATTAATATTTGGGGGGCTTATCCCACCTAACCCCCACCTAGTTGCGCTTATGGACATTACCCGTAATCAACCTAATCCATAAAAATGTAATACATAAAATGACTTAGCTCATTTAATTTTTGTTTTGCATGGTTTTTAATTACATTTATAAATACCTAAAATGTTTTTTTTTAATTTGTCTCTATTACGTATTTTAATATTTTCAGACCTTGCTTCAATTTCCCAATAAAATTTAGAAATTATGGTTTATACGATTTATGAAAATAATACGAAAGAACTAAGTAGAATGCATACATAAATCATTTACGTATGTGTTCCTTCTTAGTTCTTACATAATTATTATGTACGTATTTTCCTTTTTTATAAAACTTCAGTTATTATCTTAATAAGGCTAACAAGTAGTAATTGATCAAGCCATAAATATGTATTTTATAATACTTATACACACTCATGCTTGAATTAAATATTACAAAATATCGAAAGAAAGTTAAATTTGTTAAATACATCAAGAATTGGCACTACTCACAGTCTCAATCCATTATAATTGATTAATTGTGGCTAAATTATTATTTTTACAGTGGATAATTTATGGAAATATAGACTTCTATAAATTAAATTAATATTTAAATAATATTAATATTGTTAATTTTAAATATTTTTTATCCTGCATACATTTAAACTGTTATTTGTAACAATATTTGTGTTATAGGTACATAATAGATTCATAAGTTTTTAGACATTTAGACGATATAAATTAGATGATAAGATTTTTATTTCCTATGACTTAAGGTTTTTTTAGTATCATAAATTGTATTTAATTTTAAACCTTGAGAATGTAGTCTACATTGAACAAAAATGAAAGTTTAAAATGCTGTTTTTTTTAAATTAAATTTTATTTATAAATTGAATCTAAATAAATGAATTACCTAGAGATTTTACTTATTAACAGTATTTATCTTTTATATTTTTAATACACCACTCTCACTGTGTATTTAAATTATATTTAAGTAGTGTTTGCTATATGGAGTAGAGTTGACGAAGAAGGGTTATTCATTTATGGAACTTCTAGCGTAACAAATAAAATAAGTGATATAACTAATTATATTTTACAAAGTCGATTAATATTATTGCAATAGATATTTTAATAATTGTTTAAAGTTATTTAAGTATTATTCAATTTTCCAGTAAAACTAATAAAAAATATTATTAGTAATTACTTTTTGATTCTTTTTTATTGACTTCCTAAAGTTTTTCTTTCAACATTATATTTAGGTTAGTATTATTTATACGTACAGTAAAATAAACTATTTTAATAATAATCTCAAGTCCAAATATTTTAGCCTGTGGAATTAAAATTTAGATTGAACCAAGTTCCTATTGTTCGTATTTTAAAAATATCTTGTCTAATTTTTTTTCCATGATATTAGTATAATTGATTAAAATCAGTAATGTATTTTTATTAATTAAAAAGTTTCTTCTGCATAAATATTAAATCAAGTACTTTAAATACAATACAATATATTTCTATAAATAATATTTAACATGGCCCAAATAAAATTATTAAACAAATATCATAAATTATTATTAAAACTTATAATTCTATAATATAATATACGAGTAGCATAGGATAATATTGATGTTAGTTTAATTGTATTCAACAAATTATAAGGAGCAAAAATAAGTCTAATCAATATATTGTAACGTGAATATAATTATACGAATATTTGAGACAGGTTATTATTTTTATAAAGTTTAAATAATCTATAGTTTTTATTTATTTTAAAATAATATTAAATTATAAAATATTTTGTTATCTAAAAGTATAAGTAACATCGTATTTTTACTAAAGCAATTTACATCAATAACTGTAATGGATGTTTAAGAAAAACTAAATCCTAGTCAATTAATTTATTAATTATTAAACAACGTTTAAAAATAATCCAATATATTACTGTGAAAACTGAATAAAAAAAAAAAAAAAAAATAAATAAATAAAAATATGTTTTTAAATTGTAGTAAGTACTACAAGTAGTAAGTTTAGTAAAATAATGGATTTATTTACATATATACTTATATTCAAAAGTAATTTTGATTTTTTTTTTTTTTTGGTAATTTTATGTTTTCCAAAGTGGTACCTAATGAAATCTTAACATTTGCATTCGTATTAATAGTATGGTACCTACTTAGTACATCGATCGTAAAGTATCTTATAAAAATGTTTGTTTTTAATACATTTTCAAAGCCAACGGTATTCAATATTTCATTGCAAAGATCATTTTTTCGTATACACCCAATATTCATAAGTTATTATGTTATACTTATCAATATATTTATTAATTTCTTTTGTTTAAAGTATTACTGCTTATTCTCATGCCAAAAAATTAAACATGTATTTATATGCTCCGATCATATTACAACATAATTTTTCCATTTACGGAATATTAAGAACACTAATCGGTCTTCTCTGCACCGTCACTGATTATACTGGTGTACATTATGAAACGTTATAAAATGTCTCAACGTATCCAATCTGTATACCATTGTTTCAAATTGTTACTTTTTTTTCGGTCTTTTAATGCAATATTTTGTTACTGCAATTAAACAAAAATTGTTCAAAATCCGTGAAGGTTGTTACACAACCCTGCATTACTGGCTTTGAGGCGTAGTAAGTTATTTTCTCGTTGTCCTAATTTGCCAAAAGCTGATTAATAAAATAATATTAAATACAAATTATTGAAATCGTGTACATTTGTTTGTGGATTGTTGAAAAAATACACTCGTCGATCATTAGTAAGTACCTTTACAGCTACAGTTTATCGCCGTACTCGCATAGTAGAAAACTAGCCTTATCCAATGCATCTTCGGAATTCTATACCGCGGACACTGTAGTATAAAGCCATAACACGTATATTGCGTCATGTTAAGTTGATGTTCTCGTTATTGGCTACTGCCATGTACATGGTTTCACTGAAATCGTTTAAAAACCACTAGATTATTTCACAAACTAGTTCGTTAAGACGTGACAAATATTTTTTTATACGTTTTTTTTAAAATTTTTATCATTATTTTCACTTAAAAGAAATCGAAATAGGCAAAAAGAAAAAAACGAAATACAGGCGAAGTCGGAAGCTTTTAACTAGGGCATGTTGTTTTATTATTTACTCCTAATACATAAAAACTTAAAAACACGTACCAATAAATATAATGTAGTCCAATTTAAGACATAAGTGCAGTTTAAATTTGTTAAAAAAATTACTAAACCCTATTTTATTATTTTTTGAAAACTCAATTTACTTAACCGAAACATCTGTTATACTCTAGGGTAACACGCATACATTTATTACTAGTATATGTATGTA